ATATGTGTACCTCGGGGAAAGCCAGCTAATAAGCAATTAATAGATTCTGGACATGGGTCTACTGTTTTTTACCTCACCCCCACCCACCCCGGCGCAGGGCATGACACCTTGATACGTCTCCAAGGAGACTCAAGGTTCTGAATCTTTGGGGATTTCAGTTTGAGAAAGAAACACTTCCTAGGCATGTAAACAGATTACAGGGTTTGATTTCTGTTTGGGCCACAAACCCTAGAGACACGCTTGTGCTGGCAGAGGTCAAGACACAGATATAGAAACGCTGGAGTTGGAATGAGAGCTGACAGGCTTCTGCAGAGGGATCTGAGAGATGGACTCAGAAGCCTGTGGGGTAAACTGAAGGAACTCTCAGCTCCCCCCTCCCTTTGCTCCTTAAATTGCTTATCACACTATCAGAACCTGGAAATTGAATGCGATTGCATTTGATTCTTTGATGTGCTTCTGAATACTTGGTGGTTTCCTTCAAAAGCATCCCTTGTTTGAGACGCAAAACTGAGTTTGTTGTTTAGATTTCATGAAATTGAGAAGAGCTAACTTTCTCAGTCAACAAGCCACTGTGTTTCTAGTGTCAGACTAGCTAGAGAGGCTCCCTGAAGGGAATTCATTGGCCTGTATGAAGATTGGTAAACCTCCGTGTGACCCTTGGTTTCCCCCCCCAGGATCGTTTGACTATAAACAATGCTTTTGGGACATAGCAGCAATTCTCTACACTAATATCCAAGCAGAGAACCTGTGCAGTAGCATAACATGTGCCTTAGGACGCATGGTGATGTATTCTGTAAACATTAATATATCCACTGGTAGGGAATGCTGATAGTGGGCGACACTTTGGGGTTTTTGGCCCCTACTGTATTTCCAAATGGCTTCTGCTCTTTCAGCCTAAAGTCACAATGCAATTTTGGGCTGAAAGGCCAGAAGCAGTTCGGAAATATGTTATGGAGGTTATAGGATAGCCATCTATTAAAGGCAAAGAGACCCCTGACCGTTAGGTCCAGTTGTGGATGACTCTGGGGTTGCGGCGCTCATCTCGCTTTATTGGCCAAGGGAGCCGGCGTACAGCTTCCTGGTCATGTGGCCAGCATGACTAAGCCGCTTCTGATGAACCAGAGCAGCGCACGGGAACACCGTTTACCTTCCCACCGGAGCGGTACCTATTCATCTACTTGCACTTCATGCTTTCGAACTGCTAGGTTGGCAGGAGCTGGGACTGAGCAACGGGAGCTCACCCTGTCGCGGGGATTTGAACCACCGACCTTCTGATCGGCAAGCTCTAGGCTCTGTGGTTTAACCCACAGTGCTACCCACGTCCCTTACATGCATCTATTAGGGATAGATAAATAAAAATAGGCAGAGGTAGATTTGGATGGATGATGAATGGAAAGTTTCAAGGTTTTATAATTGTTTATATTCTAAGAACATAAGAAGAGCCTGCTGGATCAGGCCAATGGCCAATCTAGTTCAGCATCCTGTTGTCACAGTGGCCAACCAGATGCCTGTGGGAAACCCACAAGCAGGATTTGAGCACAACAGCGCTCTCTTCTCCTGTGTTTTCCAGCAACTGGTATTCAAAAGCCTTGCTGCCTCTAATTGTGGAAGCTAGTAGCTATCGATAGACCTCTCCTCCATGAATCTGTCTTATCCTCTTTTAAAGCCTTCCAAGTTGCTGGCAAGTTCCAATGAAACATGGCTTTATTTGATATTCATAACATTTGTTTTGTATTTTTTTCTGTATCAGATCAGGTTTGTTTTTGTTTCTTTGCAACATCTAATTCACTGTACTTTACTTTATGAGCTAATGGCTGTGAACCTTCCTCTTTTCTGAACTCCCCCCATGTTTTATTTATTTTATTTCTCTCAAAACTTATAGAGAAAGGGGTCCAGCAGCATGGGGTGGCCTATGGCACCAACAGAAATTAAAAGATTTATGTGGGCATCCATTGCTCTCAGAGAATCTTAGAAGCTGAGTTCCCTGTGTCTCTCAGTATAATGGACTGAGCCAGTCACCACTATTCCCTGCTTCCTTGGCAGCAATGGAAGTCTCACATGAGTACTCATGCCTTCAAGGTGAGATGTCTGCTACAAGCTCTCCATACCAGTCGTCTCTGCTGCTGTCCACCATCATGAGAGTAAGTCTCAGAAAAGAAGTGAGAAGCAGGAGGGCTGGAACTGAGTGCCCTTGGGGTGGAACACAATTAGCTGAACTTCTGAGTATAAAACACAACCTAATTAAGAGATAAGTAGGGAAGTCAGGGGGAGGCATTGCTGATGACCGCATTAGGCACTGGCCTAAAGAGAGGACCCCGGGGTGATGGAAATGTAGAAAATGAGAAGCCCCAGAGAAATTAGGAATGAAGCAAAATTAGAAGTAAAATAAGGGCATTGTTAATTACATGTTTATCCCAATCGTCCTTTAAAGAACTGAGGGTGGCTTTATGTGGGTTTCTCTCCCCTTTATCTTCACAATAAACCCATGAGCTAGGGCTAGACTACAAAAGAGTGGCTGGCCCAAGGTCACTCAGTCAGCTTCATGGGCTGAGTGGGGACTTGAACTCAGGTCTCCTTGGTCCTAGTCTGGCATTCTAACCACTATGTCACTCTGACTTAAAAAACCAACCAACCAACCAACCAACCAACCAACCAACCTGAGACCTGGATTGTGCACTATTGGTAAGAAGAAAATGGACAAGGTAAGTGACGTTTGGGAGTGCTATAGGCAAGGTAGCTAAGGAGGCACACGGCTGCTAGTTTACAGTCTAGAGAGGCCCACCCCCAACTGGGTACCTGCCAGACATGGTTGAAATCAAACTCTTATTAAGTGCCAGCAAGCTTGGCCAATGGTCATGGGTGATGGGAACTGTTGTTAGCATCCATCTGTCTTGAGAGACAATGGAGGACACCTCTGGGGGGTGAAGTCAAACTGCTGTGGCTGCAGAGACCAGTAACTTGTAACTGCTGCCTCACGTGCCATTTTGCTGTGTTAGCAGCACTGAAGTGACCGCCACAGGGCGAAAGCCTGGGCTGTGTATGGAGGTCCTGGGCTGCCCAGTTGGGAAGACCCCTCTCGGCCTCGCTGATGTGGTCCAAAGGAAAGCAGAGCTGGCACCAGCTTGGCTACAGGAGTTGCCAGAAGGAGGTATATGAGGCACCATCCAACCATCTTAGAGACTCTATTCTGGATTTGTGTAGGGTTTACTCCCAAAGATGTATTGCAAGGCAGTGGGTACAGATTTTTCCAACACAAGGAGCGCACCAGCTTGGGAAAGACTGAAGTAGACCTGACAAAGAAATTCTACCAGTTACATAGGGCGTCTTCTAATAATAATGGAAGGAAATCAGCTTCTTATAATAAAATAGCAAGGGGGAGGTATGTGTTGTGTATGTGCTGAGCAGTGCAGGGGCAGATGGGGAGTCTGAATTTCACATGTCCATTTGAACTAACCAGCCAATTCTTTGTTTGCAAGCTTCTTATATATTTGTAATGTGATTGTTCTAAAGACTCTGGGCTATATATAAGTGTGTGTGTGTGTGTGTGTGTGTGTGTGATTGGTGCATGTCAACATAAATGTAGCTAACAGGAATGACAGGCCAGAGAAATGTCTTCACACTAATAAAGCATGTGCAAATTTATAATTAAGGCTTGTCTTTCTGGTATACCACTGAGACTGGTGAAAAACATGGAGAAGTTCGATAGGCACAAGGATCTAAAGAGACTATCTATCACAATAAAAACACCAGGTGACATGGACCCGTGATTATAATGTCTTTTGTTGTCATTACTCTTTCCATTGCATACGTTTGTCAGAATAATAATTAGTGTTCTACTTTTAAAAAGATGGATTTCACTCATGGTTCTCTCTTAAGATCATCTCTACCATTTGTAATGTAGCTGGAAACCATAATGGGTTTTTTGGTGGTGGCGGTGGGGCATATTGCAAATATTTTAGCTGTTTTATTAATGATATAGAGACTTATAATATCATGGTTTTACCCTAACATTAACTATGCTGGACCTTGCATAAACATACATGGGGATAGGTTTTCAGTAGTTCCACAAAACGTTCCCCTAAATTGCATCTTGATGTTATGATTATGGCTATAGTCATCGCTGGAAAGCATCAATGTTTTAAGTGAGATAAAGGTGATTTAAAGTGCATTTGTGACTCTGGCAATGAGTTGACAGCCATCTTTAACCAGTCTGACCTGGGAATGACCCTGAGCTCAGCTGGTTGTGAGATACTTTGGTCTATTACGGGACAAAGTATCATATGTCTGACAGGAGGCAGAGAACACATTGTAAGATCACGGCTGACTAACACCACAAGACAGAACCTCATATCGTTTGACAAGGAAACTATACACAAATTTTAAAACAGTTTTAAAAGAAAGAAAGAAAAGAAGTGCCTTTCCCCTCCAAATGTATAGAAATTCACATTTGTTAACCTCTTACTTCTGTCCTTAGGTTAAAACAAATGATCTTGGTCCCAGATTGCATATAAGCAAGTTAACGCATGATGATAAATTAAAATGGACATACATCTTTCATTTGGCTTTTTCCCTTCCCATGTGGCTTTTACTAGTTATCCATGTCTATTAATACTGACACCCCACTAGCAGTTTTGTCCAAAGCCGCATACATAATTTTTGTCAGGCAGAGTAGTATTGGAGGTCACCTAAAGAAGGCGTCTTGAAGCAGATGATATCAGCCAAAGATATGATTTGATGACTGGCTATTACCCCTCCATAGGCATGCGGGTACATTTACATGTGTGAATGACCTGGAAGAGGCACATCAAGATTATTATTATTATTAAAAAGTGAAGTGATATTTATTATTTATTAATAACACTTTATTACTGCCTGATCCTGTGCAGGTTAACTTGGAAGTGATGTCCTCTGAATTGCTCATAGATAAGTATGCATAGGATTTCCTAAACCATGGTGAACAACTCTCTCTCTCTCTTTCTCCACACACACACACACACACAGAGAGAGAGAGAGAGAGAGAGAGAGAGAGAGACTGGGATGAGCTGGAGGGATATAGTCTTTCTTTCTTTCTTTCTTTCTTTCTTTCTTTCTTTCTTTCTTTCTTTCTTTCTTTCTTGGGGAATTGTTTTTCCCTATGAAGGGCTGTTGACTCACAGGGAAAGTCAATTGGGGGCTGGATCCAATGCAGGTGGAACCATTGCTCTCTCTCACACTCACTCTCTGCTACCCCCTTCTCCGCTCTCCTTATTTCTGCCACCCCATTTTCTCTCTCCCCCTGCTGCCCCTTTCATTTCTCTTGCTCTTTCTTCCATCCCTTTTCTCTCTCTCTCATGCTTTCTGTCACCCTTTCCCTCTTTACTCCCCCCTCCTCTCTCTCCATTTCCCATATTTCTGTCGTCCCCTTTCTTTTCCTTTGCCACCCTGTCCCTCTGGCCTCCTGCTCCCACTCCCAAAACAAGGTAGCAACTCTTTGGCGCTCTTTCAACCCTCTTCCTTCTACATTCCAATCTGCTTTTTCATCAGGGTGAGTCTAGGATAGTCACTTTGGAGCAAGAACCCCTGGATTCTCAAGCAGGATTGGTTGGAATAAGTGAATGGCCAATATCAATTTGGAACTGAGCAATGCATGGATTGAAGTTATGGTGTTCCAGATGAAACCATGGGCTAGAGTGGCAGAACATGACCATAGGCTGACTCCAACCCAAGGGTTGATGGCTCCCCACCCCAGTACTATGTCTATCATTCCATGCATCTGGCCTGATTCACTCTAGTCTGTGTGACTGCTGCCCAAACTTCAGAATGTACAGCATCACAACTGTAGCAGTAACAAATGCGAGAAGCAGTTGTTGAGTCTTCCTGTTTCCTTCTTCAGTGGTCAAGTTATTATTTCCTACAGCATTATTATTTCGTCTCCATGGGGATCACTGGTGCTGTTGTAAGCCCTCATGAATCAGGAGACTTGTGTGGTTGGCATTACCATTGTCCATGGCCAATGCCTTTGTTGACATGGCTATGAATCTGCTATATCTGTCCTTTTCTATGTTTTCACTCATAGTTACTTGCCAAACATAGGAGACAACCCCTAGGGGCTGAGGTCTCTTCATCCCCCAACCCCGATAAAATATTTGAGGATGTCGGGCCCCCCAAAATTGATAGCCATTGCCATTTAAATGGTGTGTGCGCGCACCACACCTTATGTGGAGTGGGGCTTCCCTGGACACCCCCCCCCCTGCCATAAGCTTTTCACGAGGCAGCTATAGATATAAATAAATTTAATTACAGTAACCCCCTTCATGTGCATAAATTAACCCAAGCATGAATCGGAATTTATACAGCACTTCCTGCTTCCTTGCCTATTGACATATGGCTTGGTCAGATGGCCTCCAGGATGAGGTTGACAAGATGTGAATCATGTGACCTCCTGAACTGAGAGGCATTAGAACAGCCCTGGGGTGGCCACACTTCTATTGCATAACACCCTGTGGGTAGGATCATGATTTTGCTGCAAAGATTTATCCCACTCTGCTCACTTGTGTGCTGCAACTGCTTTCTGTCTTCTGAATATTGACTCATGTGCCAAAATGTTAGAAGACTTCATCTATGGCCCAGCCAATATATCTTTACAGTAACAGGCCAAAGGATTTTTGTCAGGGAACAATACTCAGGAGAGTTTCATGATGTGGGGGGTGGAAGCACACGCAAGCTGTTCTGAAATATCGTCTAAGAGAAGCAGTGGCAGCAATGGCTGGGGCCAGGGTTATATTTGCCCATTCAGCTTTTTATAGAAATGCCTTCTTTTTGTCATCCTGGCCTGTGAAAAATTGTAAAAGACATTGCTGGACATTTGGGGGAGGGGGACTGGATGGAGACAGTGTTAAATAAATAATAATTTAGAAGCGATCTCTATGTCCCTATCAAAATGGGCACATTTTATTTAAATATTTTGAATGGGGCATTTCCTGCATTGCATTTCCCGCATTACAAAATGCATTGTTGTACACCACCTCTGTGGCTTCTGGCTGTGAAGCAGTTAATAGATGTGCAGAACAAATACATTAATTCTGATACAGTGGAGTGTATTTATCTCTTATACAGCTCTTCTATAATCAATCTCCTATACAGATTGTAACCTCTGCGGTTAAACAGCACATTTCTAGCATTCCGCTAGGTAAGATGGTGATGATTTAAGCTTCTTGTTTTGTAGACCACTGTTCTAATTCATTCGGTGTGAGTGGAACACCCTTTCTTATATTGTGGCATGGAGGAGGCTTCCCAACTGAAAGGCTTGAAATGTTTCCAAATTGAAACAGAGCTCTTAGGCTATACTGTGCACTGCGATTAAAAGAAGGGGTGGAGAAATGAGGAAAAAGACACATGGGGAAGAAGTAGGAAGCTGCTGCAAGGTTCATGGGGGGCCCCTGTGTCATGGGGATACTGGTCAGTCAAAGCACAACTGTTCAAGGGCCACGGTTACGTGAATGCTTTTATGTGGCATCCATTTCAGCAAACAGCATTCACTTCACATCACATGAAGCGCAAGCCTGTACTAGATTTCATTTAGCAATGCAACCCAAGGAATATGACAACCAGGACCTGCAACAGAGTGTTGATATATACCTAAGGAGTGCTTTTCTTAAATACTTCAGTCAGCCTGGAATGGGATGTATGCTTGGTAGGGAAGGACACCTCTCCCTACCACAGCTGGGGCCATCTCCTGGTATAGCATATACTACTAGAGCAGTGGTTCACCAACCTATTTTGAATCCCCTCCTGACATTTACCTATTTATCAAATGATATCAGGGCCATATAATTAACAACAACAGCAGTTCCCTCTCTTTACAGACTTAGCTGCAATCAGAATTCTGAAAGCCCAGAAGTTCTTATAGGCAGTTTTTTTGGTTTTATTTTAATTTTCAAATTTCTATATTTCTGCATACCTAGCAAAGTGGCCCTGCTTCACTTTCAAGCAAACAGATACTTGACAATGTTGTTGTTGTTGTAGTGGTAGTAGTAGTAGTAGTAGTAGTTGGTATTTTTACTCTGTTCTTTAGCTGAAATGGCTCCCTGAGCAGGCTTATAAAGATCACTAGTAGTAAGACACTTGCTACCCTCACACTTACAATCTAAAAGACTCGATAAGGAAAGGAAAAGGGATGGGGAGGGAATGGTGCGGGGCATGATTAAGCTCAGGCACCAGTTCTTAAATTTACTGTTTTTATAATGACCAGCTACAAGAGGAATAATCACAAGTTACTTGTTCAAAAATAGTTAATTTTGGTTCCATTCTGGTCTATGGAACTGTTCATAGTATAAGTCAAGTCATATTACCATGTTGGTATGCAGGAAATGTGGAGGGAGAGGTTAGAGTTTAGAAAATAGTAGGGTGGTCATATTTTGGCCTCTATTTTGAAAGACTGGTGGAAGACACTCTATTTGAAGGCTGCCTGCCAAGAAGAAGAACCTGCCTATCTGACTTGTTCAGTGCAAAAGTGGTTTAAAGACAGAGTCTTGAAGTTGTCCATTAACAGAGAGCAGCTCCTGGTCAGCAAACTGAGCAGGGACATGTCATCTGGTATATTCCCCACTATGGCGAGAAGAATTGTATTTCTATTTAGCTTATCGTCAGGGCTGGATTTAGGTTTGATGAGGCCCTAAGCTACTGAAGCTAATGGGGCCCTATATATGTCCAGCTGTCCTTTGTCAACAACAAATTGTCACTGTTTTTTGTGTTGAATATATGCTATATGGTAATTTATGGACCTAATAAGTATCTAAAGCCATTTGCACATAGCAAAATAGAGGCCTACACCACACAAAACACTGTTGCTGTATGTAGGTTTTATTTTATTTGGTGTGTTTTTTTTTGTATTTTGGAAATGTACATCCAGTTTTTTCCCCTTTAATTTTTTGGGGGGGCTCCAAGAAAGTGGGGCCCTAAGCTATAGCTTGTTTAGCTTGTACGTAAATCCGGCCCTGCTTATAGTAATTATTTCTGAATTTTCACCTACACATATAAATTGACTTCTTCTTTTTGGGGTGTGTGTGTGTGAGATGCACATCTTTCTTTTAAGGCAATGTACTGTATAACTGGCTCCCCAAATGTAGAGCGAACCAATCCTGCATTTCTTTATCACACTTTACAGAGCTGTTTAAAAATATTCTCAGCAGTTTTGCAATGGTGATGTAAATACAGATCAATTCCTGAGCTGAATATATGCTGAAACAATTCCACCTACACTCTGAATGCTGCCTGGATCCAGATATTTTCAGCGTGCCAATCTGTTGTTGCGAACCCAGCCTAAATAATAGCAATAGATTGACTGAGAGGCAGAAGCACTAAGTTAATTAAATTGCATTGTGCACATTTTAATGGGCCAAATCAGCATTTAAGAACTGAACTTGGCATAGATTGCCATGCTGCTTGAGCATAAATGTGTGGGAGACGGTTTGTCATGTCAAAACTGCATAATCTTTAAAAGTATTTTATATAGAGTGTATATATATATATAGAGAGAGAGAGAGAGAGAGAGAGAGGGAGGGTTGCCGGTTAAATATTTAAGTGATTGGTTTGAAGCCATGTCATTTAGAGATGATTCTGTTTTATGTTCCTAGTATCCTTTCAGTATTTCCAGAGAGGGCTCACTCTGTACATAAAACTGCTGTTGGCGGTATACCATTAACATAACAACCCAAGTAAGATCTGTACCTTGACACAGGATGACAAGGATTTTATAATAAAACCACACAAAAATAGTATCCATAACAGCGAGGCCTAGAATGCCTTTTAAAGCAAAGATTTCATTTCAGCAAGTGCTTAAAATGGATTTTCTTTTAGTGCTTTTATCATAATAATATGGGCACACATTTCTAACTGGCAAATAATGATAATCCCTATTGAGAGTAATATGCCTGTTGTTGTCATAATGGATCTCCATTCACACATTTAACAGCTTGAAGGTACACATTTTAGACACCATAACTTACTGTAATTAATCTTTATTACGCCATTACTGCCATGTACTCATAAAACGCAGAACCCATGTAGGAATTTATCACTTATATTAATGAACGTGCCAGAGCCCTGCTAAAATTGCAGTTCAACTTGTTTTTTAGAGGCACCACACACAAACAAGGAGCCTAGGAATCGGCTGCATGCCTGCCACTCTGTAGGAATATGCATCTATGTAATAAGCCTACATGAAAAGATGTTGCCTTCTGTTTTAAAATTCATTAGCTTCCTAATAAGACAATATTAGATCTGCCAATCACATGGAGATCTCGGAAAGTCAGGATTTCATTATAGTCTTCAGTCAAGTATCTTTTCCACTAATAACCATCACTGTTTGTTAGGTCAACCGGCCTCTTAATTATGTCTAAGGAATAATGAATCTCTTGCCACAGCAAGAAAAGATTCGAAAGGATTTCCAATTGCAGTGTAAAGATCTCTGGGCCACAAATCATGGCAGTAAATGAAATGAGACTGGAGTGTCCAGCTGAACTTTCCATGGGGATTCTAGGATCATAAAAGGGGGGGGGGGGCTAGGAACAGGAGTGAAAATAAGAATGGGACATTAAATGCTGGAAACAGACAAATGGAAGGATGTGTCTGTGTTCACATTTAAAGTATATGACTTTCCCCAAAGAATCTTGGGAACTGTAGTTTTCCTCTCACAGAGCTACAATTCCCAGCAGCCTTGACAAACTACCATTCCCATGGGGGAAGTCATGTGCTTGAAATGTTTGTTTTCAATGTGTGTTTCAAGCAGTCTATGCTTATGTGTGTCCCACTGTGTGGTTTTGAGAACCCTTCTTTCCATGTTTCAATGTAATTCGTAGGGCTATAATTTCAGAGATTTTTTGGCAGTCCTGTGCCCAAGTAGCAGGGAATCTGTTGGAAAACGAGCCTGCTCATTTTGCCTCTGGGATGACAGCCTTTATTTACTGCAGTTATACACCTTCCAAAATCAGCTCCAGTTAAGAGCAGTCCACAACCACACGGTGCTGAATCGCACACTGAACGCTTGGTAGTTTTATAGCAGGTTGGCTCTTCACGTAAATTTGGAATGTGTTTACCTTTCCCATTCAAACACTGTTTTGACTTATGGCTCGTGAGAACACCTGGCATGCAACTGGCCCAGCCAAGGAAGGGCTAAAACGGACTTTGTCAAGAAACTCTCAGAATGAGGAAGTGTGCATGGCAAACAACAATATCTTCCATTGAGGTGTCTATCTTGTCTCTGTGAGCCGTGGGATGAAATTGAAGAAGCAGAAATCTTTCTAGATGTTTTCCAGGTATCTTTCTTTCTTGTCTGGACTAGTTGCCTGCTGTCTGTGGTATCTGTGCCTGTAAATTCCAATGGAACTAGCAATACCTTGGTGATGTCATGCACTGGATTGCATCCACAGAAAAACAAGGACACAGGTGTGTCACTCACATTTTCGTAGTTTGGTTTGGTTGGTGATAGTATCTTAAATAGTCTATTTAACTTGGACTTCTTTTTCATGTAATATTGCAACATCAGAAGAAGAATTCCTTATCCATACCTTTTAAAAGCACTTGAACATTAAAAAATATATATACATGCTAGGAAAAACACAGTATTTTTCTTTAAAAAATACTTCACTTTCCTAGTCCAAAGAAGCAAAATGAAATAGCTGAAACTAGATTGCAATATGAATCAGATCACTTAAAGGAGCATATAAGATTTAACATATACAGTACATATTAGAGATATCAAATGATAAAACTTTTTAAATTTATTACTCAGTACATTAAGGAATCAAATATTTCATTCCATTTCAATACATTTCCATATTACTAAAATTAGATTTGTTTTGAAATAATGAAGTAAGAAAAAGATCTTGAAATTTAATAAAAGAAAGCTACCACTCACTGCATGGGAGTGGCCAGGATTTTCGTTGGGTGGGAGCAGGCCTTTTGTTAGGGGGGCAGAACTGAGGTGACTGGTCAGTTAGTTAAGTATTCCTATTGTTTTATTTGATCTGGGAGGGGGCAGCTGCCCCCCTGCCCCATATATATATATATATATATATATATATATATATATATACATTCTCTATTACATTAACACACAGGAACCAAAATAGCCTCAATGTGATTTAAATTTGCCCACACTAATTGCAATTAATCAAATAAAGCTTTAGTTGCTTAGCTTGCCAATTAAGAACTCGATTAAGAACCCAAGTAAGAACCCGATTAAAAACCCTACTTACTTAAGAAATATAGTCCATTCCATTCATGCCACAGGACACAACTTTTCAACTTGCCTTAAAAAGAGATAGAATCAAATCAAATAAGAATTATTTGGGACTCTTCTGTCACTGTTAGTCATCTTATTAATTTCTGTCTGTTCAGTTTGTTATCAGACTGAAGGAGTATCATTTGCCACCAATACTGTGCTGTAACAATTAAACGCTGAGTATTAGAAGGCTAATCCTACGCATGTTTACTCAGAAGTAAGCCCCTTTGCATCCAATGGGACCCGCTTCCAGTCAGCATGCTTTGTATGCCTACTTGAATGTCAGTTCCATTGAAAGCCATTATAAAGCTATTTAAAAGTACCTGTGTTTTATCCATACCCTATCATATTATGGATTAATTAAAAAGATATAGGTACCCCTGCCCATACGGGCCAGTCATGTCCGACTCTAGGGTTGTGCGCCCATCTCACTTAAGAGGCCGGGGGCCAGCGCTGTCCGGAGACACTTCTGGGTCACATGGCCAGCGTGACGAAGCTGCTCTGGTGCGAGCCAGCACCAGCGCAGCACACGGAAACGCCGTTTACCTTCCCGCTATAAAGCGGTACCTATTTATCTACTTGCACTTAAGGGTGCTTTTGAACTGCTAGGTGGGCAGGAGCGGGGACCGAAAGACGGGAGCTCACCCCGCCGCGGGGATTTGAACCGCCGACCATGCGATTGGCAAGCCCTAGGCGCTGAGGTTTTACCCACAGCGCCACCCGCGATTAATTACTTAGGGATTAAAACTGTAGTGCAGTTCTCTGAGCTGAATGTGCAGACTGCAGTCTATCTGAGCAGCCATGAAGATGGCTATTAGGACCAAGAAGAATATAACTTTCTACATTAGTCCAAACCTAATCTATATGACACCATATAGAAGCAACAACATATCCATTTTCGAATCACCTATCCACTTGCTCATTTGTTTTTCTCCTTTCATATATCACAAATAAGTTCTTGTTCTCACTACTGGCCATTTAGTTGAAAAAGCAACGTATATTTCTGGCTACTTGGTTCTGCAGTTTGCTTGTAGGTATTCATTTATATATCCACAGGCTCCTATAATATATTTAAAAACCAGAAATGAAACCCCATTGTATTTTTCTTCTGAGTTAGATTACATCAAATGATTGGGAAATAATCTCCTGTGCCTTTTATAGTGAAATGATACACACGCCCCCTGTTCTCTGCACCATGAAACCACAGTGCCTTGAAAAATAAAACGGTACAAATTGGTAATTTACCAGCATGCTGCAAGTAACTGCGCCACTTCCCTTGCTGCATATCAAACCTGCAGCTTCACATCTTAATCAGGTTTTTATTTAAATAGTTTTCACCATAGTACAATAGACAGAACAGACAAGCTGTTCTTCAGTAATGAGTTACATTGTCATCATGTCATAATTCCTCAAAATGATGAACCATAATATGAACATAGAGCACATGTCACGAAAGAGAGGCGTTTGTAGGGAGAATGCAAACTGTCCCTGAGTACGTCTCTTTTGCTTTGCCTCCTGAGGCTACGAGACTGCCTGACCAAAAATGTAGTCAGGCAGCACTTGAAAAAGATCTCCAAGCATCACCGTGCCTCCAGCTCAGGTACTGACCACCTCTAGAAAGAGAACCTTGCCTGTGCTAAAACTTTGCTTCATATGGCGTGTGCAAGCATGCAGTCAGGGGACGAGGTTGCATGGGCACATTAGCTCAGTTATGGCATGAAACTGGAAGAATATTATAGGTAAAGGTAAAGGGATCCCTGACCATTAGGTCCAGTCGTGGCCGACTCTGGGGTTGCGGCGCTCATCTCGCTTTATTGTCCGAGGGAGCCGGCGTACAGCTTCCGGGTCATGTGACCAGCATGACTAAGCCACTTCTGGCGAACCAGAGCAGCGCACGGAAACACCCTTTACCTTCCCGCCGGAGTGGTACCTATTTATCTACTTGCACTTTGAGGTGCTTTCGAACTGCTAGGTTGGCAGAAGCAGGGACCGAGCAATGGGAGCTCACCCCATCACGGGGATTCGAACTGCCGACTTTCTGATCGGCAAGTCCTAGGCTCTGTGGTTTAACCCACAGTGCCACCTGCGTCCCTCCCTAAAGAATTAGGTAAGTATAAAAGAAACATAGTCAGAGATGTCATCCTCACCAGAAGATAGGGATTGGTCAGGCTGTGTGGGGCTAATGGAAGTTGCACTCCAGCCCTTTAGGAAGGGCTGTTGGTTCCCTACCCCAGCCCTAGGTTTCTACTCTTATCCTCTCACTTTCTTCAAATATCTCTAGCCTCCTGCTCCTGAGAACAGGCAGAGAAGCTTTATAGAGTCAAGTGGGTCACACCCAGGGAACTTTCTATGGAACGCTCATTTTGGCTGTTGCAGCATCCTTCCTTTCCAGCTCTGGCTCAGGTGTGTCACTATTGTTGGCATCTTGAGTGTCAGCAAATCTTGCCTGTTGTTGTCGGCTCCTTGAGCATCAACAACGCTTGTCAGAAGTTGCAGAGTTGGCAGAAGTCCTTCCTTCGTACCTGGCAGTAAGAGGGAGGAAGCCACTGTCACTTTTTGCAAGGAAAGAGCAATCAAGCTCTTTGGATTCAATTTCTGACTCTATACATCAAAATGATAGGATATGTGTAATATGTATATATACCATATGTGTGTGTGTGTGTGTGTGTGTGTGTGTGTGTGTATGAGAATATTAACCTGCAAATATTATTTGTGGAAAAAACTGTGAAGAGTGTAATAAGGCCCTTTGTGTGATGGGGTAGCACCGGATGGCCATTGCCCAATAGCATGTCTCATCATGTCTCCTTGTTTTAGCTACACACTGAAGTTTCGTGAGATAATGAATGGCAGGCTATGGCTGGGATCATGTGTGCTTCAAGGAGGAAATAATCTTACAGGCATGCTCAGGTATCCTATGCATTTCAGCTGTTCATTTTGCCGAAGGCAGATAAGTTATGATATCTGCCAAAACCAAGTAAACACACACACACAGAGAGAGAGAGAGAGAGAGAGAGAGAGAGAGAGAGAGAGATAGAAACAACACTGGAATATTGTGCGTTTTAAAGAGATCATGTTCCTATAAGAACGGGCAGGACTGTGCAGCAAATCTTGTCTTAATTCATATCCAAAAATATATTTTACAAATACGGCTACATGACTTCTGCTCAAAATTGGACAGCTGCCTTATCCAAAAGGCACATTTGTTATTATTGTTTTTGCACTGATGGCGAACATAGCAAACATTGTGAAATAATTCTCACATGTGCAGCCTGACCTTATTCATGTTTATTCAGAAATAATTCTCCCTGTATTCAGTGGCCTAGATGACTGAGTAAGCGTGCATAGGATTTCAGCTATTATTTGTGTATTTATTTATTAAATTTGTATACTGCCCTTCAGCCAAAGATCACACAGCAGTTTACAACATAAAAATACAAAATGAGAACTGGCTATAAGGCCAATTCCCATCAATTTTTACTCAGGAGTAGGTCCAACTTATTTCAGTGGCCCTTACACATAATGTAAGTTTAGGACTGCAGTCTTAACTTATGCAGCAAAAATACCCTCCATATAATGGTGTAGAGATCAATTGCTGCAAACTCCTGATAGATAGAGTTGTATCTCTTCATTCATAAATAGAACTCTGTAACAATAACATCCTCTGCATATTTATTTGGAAACAGATCCCACCATATTCACTGGGCCTTTCTTCCTTGTATGTTCAATAATTGTAGCTTAAATGCCTAAATTCTTTCATTCTACCCGAGACTTTTCATGTCTCCATGGATGTTCTGTATTGATATTCCATATTCAAGTCTACATATTATTGCCATTGGGTGAAAGCTAAGGGAAGGTTGTAGAGAAGCTCTATAGGGCTGCACACTAGAATAAGTGACCATCTATTGGCAGAAGATACTCTCTTCCAGGCTAAAGATGAGGTTGGATTATCACATCAAACGCTCTTATATGAAAGGTAGGCTGAAAATTAATCACCCAGCGAAGTTAAGTTATTAATCTAATGAGGTTTGTTGCCACATGGACCAGATTGCGATACCAGTGGAGGTTCCACCTAGTCCAGACTTTTTGATCTAGGGACTACATGGTGATTACGGATTGAGGGTGTGGTGGTGATATTAGTTTCAGCCCTGGGGTGCTGTGTTTTTTAAAGCTATATTTTAGCAAGTCAAAGAGCCTTAAGCCATTTGCCTCCAGTTCTGCTCTCTCACCTTTTCTCACACTCTTTCTACTGCCTTGTGTTCAGCCTGCCTTTTATCGTTAGTGTCTGTCAATTCAAGAACAAACAGAGACTGCAGAAGCCTGAATTCTCCAAGGGTTTGCCCTGATGCTTGTTGCAATTGCTGTTAAATGAAAGCTGGAGGAAGAGATCTGCTCCTGATGGAGCCCTTCAGTAACCTGGGCCTCTTATCCCTGAAAATGGAAAGCTGGTGTACTAGAGGCAAAGTACCGTAGGCGCACCTAGTTTTTAGAGGGGGAAATCAAGGAAAAAAATATGATTCCCCCCCCAGCCCCAAAGAGCAAAGAAGCCAAGACAGTGAGCGGGATCCATCCCGCTCGCTCTCTTGGCCTCTGCCATAGCCGCGCGCAGCCTCTCCGGCCGGGAGAGGTTGCGCGTGGCTATGGCAGAAGCCCCACCTCCCGCAAAAGCCCACAGGAGCCATGCACAAGGGTGCTCCTTAAAAGGAGCGTGCTGCTCCTGTGGGCTTTTCTGCGAGGAGGAAGAAGGGACTGACTGGCTGCGTCAGTCCCTTCTCCCTCCTGGGGAAAAGCCCGCAAGAGCCTCGCAGAGCTTGTGTGAGGCTCTTGGGGGCTTTTCCTGCCTGCCTCCCCCCTACATTCACTCCATAAGACGCACACACATTTCCCCTTACTTTTTAGGAGGTAAAAAGTGCGTCTTATGGAGCGAAAAATACAGTAATCCCCATAAGGTGGAACGAGGCAGCCACTGCCGGGGATGGTTATTGGCAGTGGAGGCTAGTTTGTTAGGGCAAATGAAGTGCTGTCCTACCAACGTCAGTCGACCCCAATTGCCTGCAGTCCAGGGGATGGCCCTGGCTTTCGGCTTCTTCCTCCTCAGTCTCAGGGCTGTCATTATTGAGCTCAGTAGGGAAGAAAATTGGGGGGAACTAGAATTAGTTGCTTCTGATACCATTTAACGCTGGCCTTTTTGCTTTCTGCCCCAATGGGCACCAGCCACTTACTGGATCAGGGCAGCAGTCCAATACAATTCTCAGTAGCTCACAGTAAGTATTTAAAGTAGGTTTGCCATGCATCTAGAATTTCCTGGACATATTGGAGTACTGCAGCCAATAGCAGTGTCTGGGTGGAAATCAGCTAAACATCTGGGGGAATCCAGATGCATGGCAACCCATGTCGGCAGTGTCATTTTTGCCGAATTTCGTCAGAAATAGCTCAAAAACGTCAAATTTTTTGTGATGTCAACAACTTTTCTGCTTAGATTTTCACTTTTTGAAATATGGGAACCCTAATTTAAAATCATATTAATAATAAAACTAGAAAGCGGTAGACAAAGACCAAAACAAACCCACAGCTGCATAGAAAGCCATCTTTACTTAGAAGTTTTAAAAGCCTGGGCAAATAAAACGTCTTTCACGTGACACCAAAAAAAAGAAGCCAAGACCACCATTGAAGAGGACTTCTTTCCACTAACCAGTTGCCTCATCTTGAGAAGGTCCTCTGAAGAACATCTTAATACACTGGTAGCTCATGTGGGAGTAGATGATATTTAAGTTTCCCAGGTATGTGATATTGAAGAAGTCTGGCAATTTTGTAGCTAGCTTCTGGGACCTCAGTTCTATCCTCACAGTATAACACTAGCAGGTTCTTGATAAAAACTGTGGATCAATGATGCCTCTACTGTCAAGATCTCTAACAACTCCCAGATATTTCTGCTATGGTAATATAGTCTGAGTTCCTCCACATCTGGAGTGCTGGAGGGTCACTCTTTAGGCTCCTTCTGCCTTAGGTGAAAAAAGATGGAAAATGTCTCAGTCGTTCTTTCTACACTAATAACATTCCTCTGTTTGGTTTACAGTAAATACTCAAGAGTGCGGACAGATTGACAGCTACTGTACTGCACGAGCCGCCCAAAGGTAGACTCTGTTAATACAGAAGTTAGACAGTATGACAGATAGATGGGAGATAAGCAGGAGGGTATTATCCCAAGGTAAAGATATTTCAACATGCTGCTGCTGACTCCCATATGTTTTCTGAAAAAAAAAAAGTTCCACGGAGAGCCTCTGCTTTCCAAACTTTTATGTTAAGTTCTGTCACTTTATCAAAGAGAGAAGAAAAGAAACGATCCGTCTTTGTAGTCTGAGTAAATGCCAAATTAGAAATGTGGACGAAAGATTAAAGCCCCGCAAAAATATGACATACCTGGTAAGTTTTGTAATATATGAGAACCTAATTATGAGCTAACTCCCCAAGCGATCAGGTTGATTGCGAAGGTAGATGGTGAGGAGTGAAGTTTGGAATTTTGCATGATGTAAAAAGGTCTAGTACCTGTCTTGACCTCTGAAATTTTGTGAGCACCTGGAGAATAGTATTTTGGTTTTTACACTCACTAGCAGAACTCGCTCCTGCCCATGGGAACTCTTTTAACTCTTTCTCACGAATAGCTGCATGATGTTTGTTTTTATGGTTTTTAAAAATAAATTCTTATTCTATCATATTTGTGGTCTAGTTTCCTCCCCTCCCAGTTCAGATGCCCACGAACAAGAGAACTGTACTTAAAAAATAGAATAAATATTTGAAATGCACACAGATGTAATACTTTCAAAACAAATTGGATAGAAATATATGCAGAATCCTTGGTTGTTCGTTTGAAGAATTTATATCTCGTCTTTGAATAAAATAAGGTGGCTTTCGAAAAAGAGCAGAATAAAACGAGCACCATAAAAGACAATTTATATTAACTAAGGGAGGTATTCAATGGAACGCTAAGCAGATCACTCCGTCAGTGCAAGCATTTTCTCCCTGTGCACGATTCTGAGAGTTCTCCAGAACCCACAGAGCCACAGAGGTAAGAGAGGGGAAGAAAACCTCCTTGCGTTAATGGAAGTCCTTGCATGGGTTTTCATTGCTTGGGACTATTTAGTTAAACTGAGTCCTCTATAAGGATTTTTTCTGCCTTACGAAATGCCCTGAGAGGCAGATCTACACCACACATTTAAAGCACATGACTTCCCCCAAAGAATTCTGGGAGCTGTAGTTTATCTCCACAGAGCTACAATTCCCAGAACCCTTGAGCTTCTAGGATTCTTTGGGGGAAGCCAGTGGCCTTAAATGTGTGGTGTGCAACCACAGCTGCCAGGGTGCTCAATGCGCAGAAATGGAAGGAAGATTCCATCCCAACCAAGGAAGAATGGCAGGCAAAATCTAATGGAACACGCAGAAATGGCAACGCTTATGGGAAGAATGAGAACTCAAGAAGAAAGTGTCTTTATTAAAGAATGGGGAATCTATGTAGAATATTTGAAGAATTACTGTAAACCACTAAACACATTAGCAGGACTAATTTAAAATCAAGCAGTTAAAAGGGGATCTAGTGGAAAATTAGAAATAACTTTTTAAAAAGAGGGTTAGGGGGAGGTGCAATTTAATTAAATAAATATATTTCGAAACCAGAAAACCGGAGGGAAGTCAAAAAGAGGGATATACCG